TTCAGTTCGCCAAATACGGCAAAACTTACGGCCCTCTCTGCTCTCTCTCGCTCGTTCTACCCCCCCCCTCCCTCCCTCCCTCCCTCCCTCCCTCTCCTTTCCTCTTCTTGTGTCTCCCCTCGCGCCTCTTCATCTCTGACCTCCTTCCCATCCCCTTCTTTCCCACCCCTCTCTCTCTCTCTCTCTCTCTCTCTCTCTCTCTCTCTCTCTCTCTCACTCTCTCTCTCTCTCTCTCTCTATTTATTTCAGGCGCGCTCTCTGCTGTTTGTCTGTAAACATGACGGGCGAGCATATATATATATATATATATATATATATATATATATATATATATATATATATATATATATATATATATATATATATATATATATAGGTAAATGTATATTGAAATTTAGTATTTAGTATACACACACACATACACACACACACACACACATAGACGGGTGGATAAATTCATCAGCAGCAGCGGCATTATTATCATCATCATCATCATCATATATATATATATATATATATATATATATATATATATATATATATATATATATATATATATATATATATATATATATGTATATATATATATGTATATATATATGTATATATATATATATATATATATATATATATATATATATATATATATATATATATATATATATATATATACATATATATATTGTCATTTACTCTTAGAAAATGAACCGACGCCCTCCTCTCTTTCCCTCTTTGTGATTCGCCCCTGCCAGGCCTTATCTTTATCCCCTGCCACCTCTCCTCTCTGCCCTCTATCAGGCCATTGTAAGGGAGAAGGAAGAGGACGGGAGAAAAAGAAGATGAAAGTGAGGCAATGGAGGAGGCGAGAGGCAAGGGGAGGAGAAAGGGAGAAAGGGGAAAGGAGAAGAAAAGAAAAACCCTCGACACGGAGAGGAAGAAAAATTAGCCGGAGATCATCGTCCTATATAACGAAGGATGGAAGAACAAAAGAAAACGAGGACAAGGAGAGAGAGCGAAGGGAATCAACAGAGGAGGAGGGGGTCAAAAGAGGAGAGAAGCGAAAAAAGGAGAGAAGGGAAAGAAAGCGAGAGAAAGGAGCCGAAGGGAAGTAAAACAAGGAGCAAGAATCAAAAAGAGGAAAGAGGCCAAAGAAAGGGCGAAGGGAGAAATAGGGAGACACAGAAAGAGGGGAAAAGGAGAAGTAGGAAGACACAGAAAGAGGGGAAAGCGAAGAGAGCGAAGACGGGAGCATAAGGGAAGTAAAACAAGGAGCAGGAATCAAAAAGAGGAAAGAGGCCAAAGAAGGGGCGAAGGGAGAAATAGGGAGACACAGAAAGACGGGAAAGGGAGAAGTAGGAAGACACAGAAAGAGGGGAAAGCGAGGAGAGCGAAGACGGGGAGAGACCCGAGGGGAGAGAACTTAGAAAAGGGGTCGGGTTGTGACGGAGTGACTCATCCCTCATAGGACGGTCAAGCGGCGGCCTCATGTCCCACTTATCCGAAATTTACTGCTTCTTGTTAGCGCGACTTACAGACCGAGACTTGAAGGACCCTGGCTAAACGGCGGATATATAAAGAAGAGGGGAAAAAGAAGGGAGCAAGAAAGGAAAACAGAAGAAGAAGGAGAGATTGAAGTTCGCTGAAATAATAGCTGCTTTGCGTAATAACTTCCATGGATAAGAGTACTTCTATTAGTGATCAATTTAATGAAACTATACTTACGCACTCTCAGGGGACAAGGGTGTGTGTGGGGGGGGGGGGGTGGAGAGAGAGAGAAGAAAGAAAGAGAAGAGACAGACAGATAGATAGACAGAGAAAGAAGAAGAGAGAGAGAGAGAGAGAGAGAGAGAGAGAGAGAGAGAGAGAGAGAGAGAGAGAGAGAGAGAGAGAGAGAGAGAGAGAGACAGACAGACAGAGAAGAAAAGAAAACACATGCAAAAGGCAGAAAGAAAGAACGAGTGCCAGAGAAAAGAGGTATTAGCCGAGAGGTAAACAAAATGAGCGACAGGAGAAGAAGAAGAAGAGAGAGAGAGAGAGAGAGAGAGAGAGAGAGAGAGAGAGAGAGAGAGAGAGAGGGAGGGAGGGAGGGAGGGAGGGAGGGAGGGAGGGAGGGAGGGAGGGAGGAGAGGGAGGAAGGGAGGGAGGAAGGGAGAGGGTGAGAGAGAGAGAGAGAGAGAGAGAGAGAGAGAGAGAGAGAGGAGGAGGAGGAGAGAGAGGAGAGAGAGAGAGAGAGAGAGAGAGAGAGAGAGAGAGAGAGAGAGAGAGAGAGAGAGAGAGAGAGAGAGAGAGAGAGAGAGAGAGAGACAGAGAGAGAGAAGGATCATGGCAAAAAAGGTACAAAAGCCTCACCAAGAACTGGCCCGCTGCCTTGTGGCCGCCGCGCCGTGTTATTCCAATCACTCAAACCTCCATTATGTTCACCGTGAAGAGTGACGTCATCTTTAAACCCTTCTTCCTTCCCCTCCCCCCACTCCTTACCCTTGCCCCTCCCTCCCTCCCC